TGCATGTCATCGATCCCAATTGCTTGGAATGATGCTCCTTATATCAATCACTGGATTGTCTGGTTCAGACTTGATTTTTTTACAGACCGCCGTCATATAGCTGGATTATTGCTGCGGCGTTAAACAACAAACCAACCAACATTTAATGATTGTGTAGAGTAGCCTTTTTAAGGGTGCTGGAAAGGAGAAAACATGGTTCCATCCTTCAATCACCTGTTCTTAATACCAATTAATCAATACGCACATTTGTGATATATTATATAACATGAGAAAAGTAACTACAAGCGTTTCCTCCTTGAAAATGCCACATTAGATCTTATGTGTTATAAATATTCGGTCAAAAATAAAACTACCAATATGACAGGAGTGAATGCGAGTACAAGTTGTTTGTGGAGCAGGGATTTACCAGGGTCCATCTGTTTTTCAGTACAAGGGACTGTTGGCAGTACATATTGGGGTTGTTACGTGGTGGCAGACATAATTATGGTGGTCCCAGGCTAGTGACCAGTGACATGCTTTATCACAATTGCTCAGAAACCTGGAGCCAGTAATGATGGGGATGCTGATTTTTAGACTGAAGAATATCAGCTAATGACATGCTGAACTTTGAGTGTTTCTTACCAGAATAGAATTGTCAGTTATGTGTAACATTCATTCTACAATTTGATAAATTTAATGATTAAACCAACCATGATTTGGTCCAACATGACTCACAGTTCAAATTATGTCTACTTGGCACCCCATGACCAACTTCAAGACCATTCTGCTAGTGATTAATTATTTAATTAGGGCTCTGTTTTCATGACAGTCTGTATTTTCTTGTGTCGGAAACCATTTCTTACAGAATATACAGCTGTGTTGAAGGGGGTGCATAATAAATACATTAGACATTGAGTTTCCTCAAGAAGCAAACACATCACTGACATGTTAACACAGGATATTGCAGTAAGTTTCCCTAATCGCCACCACTCATTGTCAAATGGTGGTTCGTCAGACTGTTCCATTTTTTGTTTTAGAAACTACCCAGTTATTTCAAATGTTTTCAATGGTAATGTATTTCTGTTTTTGATCCATATCTAAAATTCCCCTAAAATAATGACAGATTTTCAATCAACTTGTCTAGTGTCCTATTAATGTCAAAGTTTAGTTTCATCAACATTTGATAGTTTGTTGTCTCTCGCTCAGTCTCTGAAATCGAATTTAGTTTTAATAAGCACCCACTTTGTCAATTTTCTAACCATCCAGTGCAATATGTGACCAACCACTTGCTAAGCAGAGATGTCTTCTGTTTGTGAAGTTGGCAGTATTATATATGATTTTAACTTGGTTTTCAGAATTTTAAAGGGGGCATGGGTGGCCCAGTCATCTGAGATGCCGCAATTCGCTGTGCAGAGTTGCGTCCCTTGGGCACGCCAGAAACCTATGATTGTGGGTTCGAATCCCGGTTCGCCCCAATTATGTTTCTAGGTTTGTCAGCACCATACCCGTGCTCGTGGGTTTCACCGAAGTGGTAAACGTCTGAGACCTGCATCACTTCGGGCTTTCCTCACACATTAAGCTGACACGCTGTGATATAACTGGAATACTGTTAAAGCGGCGTTAAACACAACTCACTCACTCACTCACTCAGAATCTTAATCTTTTCAGAGAAGAGGAATCTCATCAATGTTTTCTCTATAATCTGTGTTCTGCTTCCATGGTCTAAAGAGCATCTGCCCGGAGAGCAGAAGGTCGATCATTCGAACCCTGGCCATGTCATACCAAAAGACCTTAAAAGATGGTACTTGATATTACCCTTCCTGACCCTGCATTAAGGGGATGAAACAAGGACAAGTTGTTTCAGAGTCTGTATACTGTGTCTGAGTGGTGTTAAACGTGTTGAACTGCAGCATGGTACCTAACTAGGCCAGCGCAATAAGAACAGTATCAATCTGTACTAGTACAAGCAGCCACACACACTAGCAAGCACATGGTCAAATAAGTGAAATAATTTTGAAAGTGACATTATGCTCCATTTCACCTCACCTATGAATTGACGTGAAACTTATTAATGTGGTGGCTATCAGAAACCTTACAAAGGCATCGCTGAATATAACTGACTTAATATTTAAATCAATGTAAGAAATCTATTTTTGTCTTAGCTTCTCTAGACCTGCAACAAATTTTATATTTGGGATAACACTTCCTTAGTAAAGTACAAGTACTGGGATTCGAACCCACACTCTCAGAATGAACCACCAAAGCAATCCAACCAACTCGGCCACCAAGACTTCCACAAAATGAAAGTCTGACAACTGGTAGTCGAGTTCATGTACTTTGTGTCCCTGTCTGAGAAGTGAAATTTGGTATGGGTCCCATGGATGAAAGCTATGGATACACAATGCCATTTAGAAAGTGGTGAAATGAATCAAATTATATGTTTGGGATAACACTTCATCGTGTATTCAGGTGGCCCAGTCATCTAAGGCGCCGCGATTCGCTGTGCAGAGTTGCGTCCCTTGGGCACGCCAGAAACCCAGATTGTGGGTTCGAATCCCGGTTCACCCCGATTATTTTTCTAGGTTTGTCAGCACCATACCCGTGCTCGTGGGTTTCACCGAAGTGGTAAACATCTGAGACCTGCATCACTTGGGGCTTTCCTCCCACATTAAGCTGACACACCGTGATATAACTGGAATACTGTTAAAAGCGGCGTTAAAACCCAACTCACTCACTCACTCATCGTGTATTCTCTTGACTGTCAAACCTTGAAAAGTTCTTACTCCATGAAAAGACAAAGGCCAATGAGAGTCCACAATGAGGGTATCTGCCTAATTCAACAAATGTTAAATAAACTAGCAAACACTTATCCCTATATTACCAGATATGATCCTATTTAGAATAAGACTTTGTATATTTCAATACCTTCATGTTTTGGACTCACAACACTGAATGTATAGGTGTTACTAAGATGTCTCAAGGCTAATTTAAGTTGTGTCCACGGAATGTTTATTCAGCATGTGAACATGTGCAAGTCTTTGATGACCAAATTGATTTTTTAAAATGTTCACAAAGACAGTACAAACATATGGGAACAGATTTGTGGGGGACTCAAAGACATGCTCATGTTTTTCTTGAAGTTAAAAAACAATCATTCTTTTTCACCATTTTTGTCCATACTTATGTATTTGATCCAGTCAGAAGCCCAAAGCCTGCAAATGTCAGAAAGAAGAAAAGCTAGTTGTCATGTCTGATAATTTTCATATCAGCAATTAAAAAATATTCATACCAATATTCCAAAAGGGGTCCTTATCCTTCTCAGTCCTTTCTATTTATTTTGCTACACTGGAGATCAAGTAGTATTCAAGAGAACACCTTGCAGGTGACTGTTAGAGTTGACTTTTAATTCCTGTTTGTCTTTTAAGTTTGCTTGAAAGACTTCCTTTAAGGTACCATACTTTGTTACTGAGTTTTCAGTGAAAGATATCTGATGTGTATTACATCTTTTGACTTACCATGTTTATTGTGGGTTTGATGTGTATTCATCAAGAATAAAGATATAATGTGTATGCTTAATTTTTGTGAGTTTATTTTATTCTCCCATTCATCATCCAATCAACAACACAACAAAAATCACAATGGACCAAGGGGCAAAGTAGTGTTCAAAATACTAAAAAATGGCAGACTGCCATAAGGACCCACAGACTTCAGAAGCTGCAGGCTCTGACTTAACTCTTCAAGGCCCTCATTTGAATAAGGGGCAGTCGGGTAGCCTAGTGGTTAAAGTGTTCGCTCGTCACGCCAAAGACCTGGGTTCAATTCCCGACACGGGTACAATGTGTGAAGCCCATTTCTGGTGTCCCCCGCCATGATATTGCTTGAATATTGCTAAAAGTGGCGTAAAACCATACTCACTCACTCACTCATTTGAATAAACCTGCAGCTTATTGTGACATGTACGAGACGTAGATTTACTGCAGAACATAAGGAGCCGTACAAATTTGAAACTACGGCTGATGTGAAATCTACCTGCCATGGGCCTACGGGTATACTTACTTAAAAAATACTGGAGCACAGGTGGCCCAGTAGCTTTTTAATTCATTGGTTTGAATCCAGGTTTATCATCACCATACCCACACCTGTGATATTTAACTGAGGGGCAATCGGGTAGCCTAGTGGTTAAAGCGTTCGCTTGTCACGCCGAAGACCGGGTTCGATTCCCGACATGGGTACAATTTCGTGAAGCCAATTTGTAGTGTTCCCCTCTGTGATATTGCTGGAATATTGCTAAAAGTGACTTGAAACTTCACTCACTCACTTAACTGAAATACTGTTCAAAGTGGTGATAAACACAAATTGTTAATAATGGACCAACTTCATGGGGATCCTGGGTTTGAATTGGTTTCCAGAAGCTTGTCCTGTCAGTAGACTTATTGGATACCATGGTCAGGCTGTGACATGGTTTATTTAGTGTATTCTCAGATGGTGTGAATTGTTGCTCACACTATCAATCACTGGTTTGTCTGGTCTTGATTATTGACAGGCTATCATGCTACAGCTGGACTATGTGGCATTAAACAACAAACTCATTATTATTGATAGATTGCACAGGACTTTTATCTCATTAATGATATTTTATATGTTATAATTAATTTGCAATTGTTATTGGTGTTATGGTTCAATATTTATAGTTAAGACAACACAACGCAACAGGAGTGTTATGAATACAGAGTTTTATTTACATTATAAACAACTATATACAAGAACAACAATGTGCCCTGTCAGATTACCATGGGAGTGGGTGCCCTACAGCATCAGTTTGCCAATCCCAGCTAGGCTGTCGGTCTCTCTGTGCCTGAGAACAGTGATTCCTGGACCCCTGAAGATTGGGGGTAGAAAAGGTCTACAGCAACCCATGCATGCCACAAAAGGCGACTATGCTTGTCGTGAGAGGTTACTAACGGGTTCGGGTGGTCAGGCTCGCTGACTTGGTTGATGCATGTCATCGTATCCCAACTGCGTGGATCGATGCTCACGATGTCAACCACTGGATTGTCTGGTCCAGACTCGATTATTAACAGACCGCCGTCATATAGATGGAATATTGCTGAGTGCGACGTTAAACAACAAACCAACAACAGTTATTCCTGTCATTACAAACTCAAGGGTTCCCCTAGATAATGGAGTGCCAGCTCATGTTCTTCGCCTTTGATTTACTTTCATCTCTCACATTGAAATTGACATATGGAACTTGAGGGTAGATCTCACCAACAAAGGTTCTTGTTTCTTTCAGATTTCTAATCTGCCTGATACTGGGACCCACCTACGTGGGTCTACGTTTGGGGATTGAAAAATGAATGATAATACCCTTAAAGTGAATTAAGTGAATTACCCTTCTTGGTGACCCCCTTTATGTTCAAAAACGTGTAATGTCAATATTTGCCAGTGCCACACTGCGAGATCTGTTGGAAGATTCCTTATTGAAATATGGTACTCGACAGTAGGTGAACGAGACTCGTTGGACAATGTAAACTTGCATGTATAGCAGATAAGTATTTGTAAGAAACCACATGCATATGTTTAGTAGTAGTTACAATCCTATGTATAATGATTTACCAACTCTTTAGGATTCGTATATTTCTTTTGCAATATAATTCTAAATTATTCTATATCATCACGCGTTTTTTGGAAATCAATTGAAAATTACAAGATATATTAACACAAACAATCGTCTCTTTCTTTCTCTTAAACAACTTCCACCGACATCAAGAGGCGTTACTGCCCTGCAGACAGTACTCACGAGGATGTGATTAAATCATGGCAGTTGTTTACACATGTACAAGACAGTGCCCGCATTCGCACACGATGACACAGTAAATACACTGAGTGGGCTTTGTCACGACACAATCAGATAAGTGGCTGCTTCCATGTTTCGCCTCAGCTAGGAGCTGGGTCGTGTCCCAGAAGCTGCGAATGTACTTGAGTAACTCCCCTGACTTCGGAGATTTCTGCAACCAAACAAAGTTTTGAAAAGTTTTGGTGTGGCTTGCTGCCCAGTGTACTGGATGAGGCAATATTCTTATCTCAATTCAGATGTAATTTAACGAACTCCAAATATCTTTTACAATATGGTCGTAATATGCGAAGTTGCGTTTGTTATTTTCCCGGATTAGATTTTAGTTCGGTACAGCCGGTATTCGTAATATCAGACTTCACATTATCCGTTGTTAAATTGTATTTGTGATTTTGCATTTTTACAATGAATCGCAAGTAATACTGGAGGTAAATTAGATAAAATAAACAAGTAATGTATAATTATTAAATTGTTTTATATTTACGGAAATGGATAGAAAGGAAAAGGGGTTAATTGTAACGGACAGAGTAGATTGCATCGTGCATTCATATATTCTGTTGGGCGAAGAGAAAGCGTGATAAATCGATAATTACCGGTGACCCACAGCTCTGGACTACCATTACAAGACGCAAAGGATTAACTTCCTTAAGTAATTCGTTCATGTCGATCATTGTTAATTAGTGAAGCTAATTTACATCTGTGTACATTTGCTGATGACGCGGCCATTGTAAGCCCACCCCCGCACCCGCACCCCCCTCTGTATCCGCCCATGGTACCTATACAAACTATCGACCTATCAACACAATGTAGGTAAAATTAACTTTTCTTGATATCGAAAACTAAAACACATACCTCGTTATATCTATATCAGCATCAACACTTACATATATACCTAAATACAGGGGACTTGTGATGGGAGCATAGAATGACAACGTCTTAAGCGGGAAACGAATACAGTTTCGAAAGTAACTCATTTGGCCACTACTTTTGCTATCACGTCGAGTTTGGCCAATATCAACCTCACACGATCAGATATAATTGTTTGTTTGTTAGTTTGTTTGTTGTTTAACGTCGCACTCAGCAATATTCCAGCTATACGACATCGGTCTGTAAATAATCGAGTCTGGACCAGACAATCCAGTGATTGACATCATGAGCATTGATCCACGCAATTGGGATACCATGACATGCATCAACCAAGTCAGCGAGCCTGACCACCCGATCCCGTTAGTCGCCTCTTACGACAAGCATAGTCGCCTTTTACGGCAAGCAAGGGTTCCCGAATACCAATTCTATCCTGGATCTTCACGGGTCGGGGTATGATTAAAATATTGTCCAAATCAGCGTTAAACCAAAACCACTCATTCCTTGCAACCGTCGCTGCTATCCACAAAACAACCTCACCATGCTACAAGGGTGTCTCACGTTTTGCGACAAGCCATCCTTCTGCACAGACGCATGCACTCCCGTCGGAACTGGACGTTGCAGAAGCCGTAGATGATGGGGTTGACAGTGTTGCTGACGAGGTAAGATCTCAGAAACAAGTTGACCGCCACCTTCTGTCCATCGGAGAGATTGGGGTACCAGGTATCCCCCAAAACTGTTCGCATCATTGTGATTACCAAGAACGGTAGAAAGCTGATGACGTACACCACTGTAATAATCGCCAACATCAGAGTTGCCCTCCCTGCTTGAATTCCATGTTTAGTAAACTTAATAGAAGCAAGTGTTGGAAGTCGCTTGTTACGTGGCTGGGGTACGGCATCGCTGGAACTGTCACTGCTTTTGAAAACGTCATCTGCCATTTCTTGAACGCTGGAATCGTCCGATGCTATTTTGGGTCCACTCTCTGATCTCTTCTCCGCCGATCCTTTATAGATCTTGCGGCCTTCAGCTATGCTGAATTGGAACGAAGTGGTTCTCACGGACTCAGTTCTCTTGTCTTTCCTGAGTTTCCTCATCCAGATCTGTACCCCAATTAGGGTGTATAGAACTACCATGACGACAGCTGTGGCAATGAAGCCAACCCACAAATATATGTAATAGCCCTCCGAGTACCATTTATCTTTCACGGAGTCATCCACGTGACACAGTACAAATTTCATGAAGCCTCTCTTCGTCGGATAGAAGACAGTCTGTTTGCCATAGATGACCAACGCCGGCCACGATACCGCCAGTCCAATGAGCACGGCAACCCCACATGCCATCTTTGCGCCTTTGTATGAAAAAGAGGTTTTGTTTGGTTTACAAATTTTGATGAAGCGATCAATAGAAATGATGAGGAGAACGATGGCTGAATTGTTGTTCATCCAGAATGTGGAGAAACGGGAGAGTTGGCAATATACAGGAGTATCAAGGTAATAGAAGTTCCGGAGGATAACTATTTCTGTTGGCATGGTGATGATACAGTTAACAAGGTCAAGGACGGCAAGGGTCGTAACAAAGATCTTGGTTGTGGCGCGGTGCCAACGACAGCCGTATATGTAGATGACTAGGACGTTGCCGAAGACGCCGATAAGCATCATGATGGCGACATAAATGATTGGTACAGCAAGCTTAATAGCTGTGTCTTCGTTGAGATGGTCAACATATTTTTTTGGTAAAATGAAAATGGTTGTCTCTGAAGGGGACGCGCTATTTATCGTTAGAGCAGTAGATGGCAGAACTGTTGATAGCGGAGCTGTAGATGGTACAACTGTTGATAGCGGAGCTGAAGAAGGTAGAACTGATGACAGAGGAGCTGTAAACAATGCATCTGTAGACGATAGCCCTGTAGACAGTATATCTGTAGTCATGGGAGACCCCTGGGTTGATGAAAAATTCATACCTGTATTGAAATAAACAAAACGTGATTCAGACATATTTATCCTCTATTATCCAGTGTATTAATTTATATATCCATTCTGCAATGATAAATACCGTGGACCCATTCGCTACCATAGCTACGTTTTCCGCTCGTTTCGAATAGTTTCGATGGTAAAACATAGTCGTCCAATCAAATCTCATTAGCGAGAGCAATTCTGCGTAAAGGGATAGGCGCAATCTCATTAAAATCTCGTCCTAGTTCTCGCTATCGCTGTTCTCGCTATATCGATAGTATTCTGTGTCTGAGTGGGGTCTTCATGTTATAACTGGGGCATGGTGTCTCAGTGGGCTGGCTGTACTAGTACAAGCAGCCGCACACACACACACACGCACGCACGCTCGCACGCAAGCGCGCACGCACGCACGCACGCACGCGCGCAAAAATCTTGAACGCGCCGTTAAACCCCACTCACTATCATTATAATTAGGGCGTCACTAAGCAGACACTCCGTAATATAATTGCAATACTGTTTAAAGCTTACTCACAATAGTTGGCACGAATAAATGCCATTTAATGCTGCTTACCAACTATTCACATCGGCTTTTGTCCAGGAATTAGAGGTCAGTACGGGTAGCTTAGTAACAACATTTCATATGGGGTAGTGGAGTAGTCTAGTGGTGAAAGCGTTATCTCGTCACGCCGAAGGCCCGGGTTCGAATCCTCACATCAGTATAATTAAGAAATAAACGACAAGTGGGAGTTGTTTATCATAAAATAAAACACTGCAGGGATAATAAACCACGAAGGGCGCAGGGTGGTTCATTCTCCCTGCAGTGTTTTATCGAACGATAAACAACGACCACGATTCGTTTATTTCTTATCATATATATATTAATATAATGTACAGCCTCTTTAAGGATGTTAATAGAATGAGCAAGCTTTAAAAATATTTACCTGTATTTAAATAATGATAACTCCCTGCATAGAATACGTCCATATTATGAACAGAGGGGATAAATTTGTCTTTTTCCGGCATATAATTCCACATAATTTGCACCTTTTCTAACAATACCGATTGTCGTATCTCTCCCACGTTTGGATGCGATTGTTCGGCCATTGCGTTTATCTACGTTGCCCAACTACATCTACGGGGAACAACTGACTAGACACCTCCTTCTCAAATTTAACGTCGTTAAATTACGACGTCAACGTCAGAAATGACGTCTTGATAGAACAATGTTTTATCGTGAAATAAACCACGATTCCTTCTTCGTTGTTATTTGTGATTTATCGCCCAGCTATCTTATATTCGGAGATATTCCGGTGATATTGCTGGTGACTATTGCTAAAAGCAGCATAAAACCTTACTCAGATGTTCAGATCAGTTAATGATGTTAACAATGAATGATTCAATTTGTTAAAGTAATAAACTGTATTGGTCAAATGAGACGTAATAACACATAGTGACATGTGGAGCTTACCTTAGTTGGGCTGGACAGAAACTAACTACGGCGTCACTCGAGGAATGATTTGTCAGACCGGAACAGTCTCTGTTGGCCCGCGAGCCTACAGAGGAAACGTCGTCACATTCCTGACAGCACTATCTCATGAAACATATTTCACCATGCACGTGTTCTAAAATTAAATCGGTCATATCACAACGACCCTTCTCCGTGTTAACAGATTCTATGTAGCTGGAATTAGTTGTTTGTTTGTTTGTTGTTTAACGCCGCACTCAGCAATATCCCAGCTGTATGATGGCGGTCTGTAAATAATCGAATCGTGTCCTGGAGTTAATTACAAACCAGATATGAGACTACCATTAACCCATTAACTTTCAGACCCGTGAAGACCCGGGGTAAAATAGGTCTTCAGCAACCCATGCTTCCCGTAGAAGGCGACTATGCTTGTCGTAAAAGGCGACTAACGGGATCGGGTGGTCAGACTCGCCGACTTGGTTGATGCATGTCATCGTATTGCGTGGATCGATGCTCATGATGTCAACCACTGGATTGTTGGTCCAGACTAGATTATTTACAGACCGCCGTCATAAAGCTGAAATATTGCTGAGTGCGGCGTTAAACAACAAAACAAACAAACATTAACTTTCGTCACTCATCAGATAAGAGTGAATGAGTGAATGCGAGTTTATGCGCATTTAGTAGTAGTTCAGCAACATCAGGGTACACTTGAATAGGGCTTCACAAATATTAACCATGTGGGGAATCGAACCTTGGTCAGGGTGAGTGAACGTTTTTATCACTCCACCGCCGTCAAATAATCAACTTCCTTACTTCACCGAAGAGGAATTTTTTACCATATTTTTGTACTGTTTCTATCTATACTTTGATAACTTTCAAAATGATTTGTAAAGGTTTTCCTCATTTCTCACATTCCCATATTTCGTGGGACAAAAAGGCCCTCGTCCTACCTTGTCCCTTGTCAAAACTATTTGGCATTGTATAAAATATTTTAAGGGCAAGTATAGTGAAAACAATTATTGCGATTTTGTCGAGAATATAAAGAGAATATCAATTGTCCAAGACATATTCAGTCAATTTCCGATAGAAAAAAATATATTTAACGTAGATATTATTTAAATATCCAAGCGAAAGTGCTAAAATCCAACGCTCCGTAATCGGATTCGAAGAACAAAACTATTTGGGGCGTGGCCTAAAGCTACCGGCGCAACGCTGCAACAATGCGTGACTGTTATGTATAGACTTGGCTAATATGTATAGACTTGTGATGCTTGGTGGCTATACGGATAAGGCTGGAAGCGGTCAATCTAAAGATGTTGCGATTTCTGTCAATCCTACAAAAACGAAACGAACTTTAATCTTGATATTATGAATAATTAAAATATCAATTAATGTCTTCCTACTTGTCTACCTAGTTAATCCCCATCGTGTTTGTTTAAGCAATATACATCGGTACATTCATGCATTTATTTGAAATGTATGAATAAACAATTGATAAAAAGATGAGCACTGTATAAAAAATTATCTTAATTGTCCAATTTGACATATAACATTTCCATTTACATAATTCAGTCCAACTACAGCAAACTACGGTTATAACGTAATTCTAGTTGGTTTTATCCGCCGTTCGTTATACGCATTTCGACGGTGATACTTCTTGGATCTTGCAGTTTATCAATACTGAATTTCGTCACTCTAATCATCGCATTTTGTACAGTATTATGTATTATTTAAAACACGGGCAATAAGTCACAAGCAGCATGTTAATGAATGACGGAGTAGACTAAACTGTCGGTCAAAAGAAGGTACAACTTTGTACAGAAAAGCATATACATGCCTCTAACAATCTTTATAACAAAGTTCTCAGCAAAGTTCCGGTTACGACATCACTTCCTGTTTGGAAAAAAACCCATGGCCAATATATACAAAATTTGAAACAAATTCCCATGCCTCCAGCTACTTTAACAATAGTGAGTGAGGGAGTGAGTTAGGTTTAACGCCGATTTTAACAGTATTCCAGTTATATCACGGCGTGTCAGTTTAATGTGGGAGGAAAGACCGAAGTGATGCAGGTCTCAGACGTTTACCACTTCGGTGAAACCCACGAGCACGGGTATGGTGCTGACAAACCTAGAAACATAATCAGGGCGAACCGGGATTCGAACCCACAATCATAGGTTTCTGGTAGGGACGCAACTCTGCACAACGAATAGCGGCGCCTTAGACGACTGGGCCACCCGTGTCCCCCATTCTATTTTAGAACGCATAATCACACGTATTAATACAGTGAAAATACATGGCCAGTGCAGTACACAAAATGCCCTATGCTTCTACCTGCCTGAATAATTACTGAATATTTTTATAAGATTTAAGAACTTCCGGTTTTGGAGATACATGTCTCAAAACAGAAGATTAATGCTCGAGTTATCAGGTACACACGTCTTTTGAACGCCCACTTGACAGGAAGTGACCTTGACCTTCACTCAGTAAGATGCGAGAACATTACACTTTGTAAACTTGGTGGTGTTACAAAATTCGATATCAAAATTTTTAATGATTCGCTTTAAAAATCATGAATTAATGACCTTCAAAATACGAAGTTACATCCAATTCCATTCACTCAAGTTACGTACACAAGCTTTTGTGACGCCTAGTTCATTCTGAGAGACCTTGACCTTCAAGGTCATCGAATCATATTTCAATTGGCCTGCTGAAATAGGATCTCAATCTGTACGCAGACCGAAGGCTGGGTGTACGTTTCCCTGTCCTGTTTGGCTGAAGCAGCATCATTAGATCGGCGATCATGGCGTGGTGGACTGAGTGACGCGTATCATTAGGTTGCGTATATATCATTCATTTCCGTACAGGACCCGTGAAGATCCTAGTTAGAATAGGTCTTCAGCAACCAATGCTTGCGCCAAGAGGCGACTATGCTTCCCGTAAGAGGCGAATAACGGGATCGAGGGCGATCATTTCCGTACAGGAACCAATGCTTAATACCGTATTCGACGTAATATGCACCCATGGCGCTCTCAAAATTTGAAATAGGGGTCTCTTATTATTACTTTGGTGGAAAAAAACAGAGTTGCAAGATCGTTGATTTCGTGGTTTATGCTGACAGCCTGAAATATTTATATACGACAGATATATTTTTCCTGAATTTAATTGCCTATAATTAAGGGTGCGTATAACACACGAGTGCGTAATATACATGTATAATTCTAAGTCTCGTGTACAGTGATCAATCGGAAGGGGTGCTGATTGGGATTCTTCACTTGCCAATATACAGTATGAGCTAATATCGCCGTGGGCGCTTATTAGAGCGGGGCTTTTATACGTCGAATACGTGATAAGCGTATGTTTCCTGATATGTGTAAGATTTGTCTAATAATCGTTACAACATCTCGTGAAGATCCGGGTTAGCACTGGTCATCAGCAACCCACGTAAGGGGCGACTAACAAGATCGGGTGGTCAGGTTCGATGCATGTTATCATAGAGAGAGAGAGAGAGAGAGAGAGAGAGAGAGAGAGAGAGAGAGAGAGAGAGAGAGAGAGAGAGAGAGAGAGAGAGAGAGAGAGAGAGAGAGAGAGAGAGAGAGAGAGAGAGAGAGAGAGAGAGAGAGAGAGAGAGAGAGAGAGAGAGAGAGAGTTATATACACTTCATACTAAAACACGTACACGAACAGTAAAATATAACATCCGACCAGGTATGGTCTACGAGACACTTAGACATAAATGCAAATTATAACGCCATGATCTGGGTAAGGTAAAATAAGACATATACTAACACAATGTTTAAAATTAAGGTTAGGTTATGAACACGCACGCTCGCACGCACACGCACACACACACGCCAAATTACTTATAAAGTCACGCACACAATCATACACAAACACGTAGGTACCCACACACCCACCCCACACCATACCACGCACACACGCACAAGTACACGCACACACAAACACACGCAGGTTCGATGCATGTTATCATATCCCCATTACTTAAATCGATGTTCATGATATCTACACTGGAATGTGCAGACGCGATTACTTAGAGACCGCCGTTAAACAAACAAACAAACAAACAAACAAACAGGTACGCCGATTTTGACAACACGTACACCAGTACTATCACGACGAAGGGTACCATAAAAGGTACATTGTACCCATTTAGGGAATCGAACCCTCTTCTCTGGCGTGACAAGCTAATACTTGTGCCACTTGACAACCCATCGCCCAAGTTCTTCCTTGGAGACGTCAACATTTTCAAATTCCCCCAAGTATTCAGTGCCGCAAACATTACCGTATTCGACGTAATAAGGGCCCAGGGCGCTTTCAAAATTAGAAATAGGGGGCTCTTATTAGAATATTACTTTGGTGAAAAAAACACTTAAAAGATAAATTTCGTGGTTTATTCTGACAGCCTGTAATGCTTATATGCTGCAGATATATTTTTTCCAGAATTCAATTGCCCGTAATCAAGGGTGCATATAACACCCCAGTGCATATTATACGCGAATAAAAAAGTCTTGTGTACATTGATCAATCGGAAGGGGTGCTAATTGGGAACGTTCACTAGCCAATATGTTAGCAAATATCGCCGTGGGCGCTTATTAGAGCGGGGCGCTTATTACGTCGAATACGGTACTTCAATTTCTGTATTATAATAAAATTTGACATGGTTGGACTATAGTTAGTTATTTTTTAAAATATTACAAAATGTTACAGCATCGGTTACAAAACAAACATTGCTACAGCCTCACATTTTTACAGTATAACATCACCAAACATTTCCCACACATATGTGTATTTACTTTATTTAAAAGAATAAACTGTAACATGACTCTCACGATATATCAGCCAGGTATGTAGCACAGATCTTCTTGTGTCGTCACCATTGTGTGTGCTGTTATTGACAAACGAAAAGAAAGGAGATATTTGCGGGACGCTTCTTTCACTATCGAGAAGAGCGCGAGGTGTGACCGAAGGGGGTGAGTGAGTTGGGTTTAACGCCGCTTTTAACAGTATTCCAGTTATATCACGGCGTGTCAGCTTAATGTGGGAGGAAGCCCGAAGTGATAGAGGTCTTAGACGTTTACCACTTCGGTGAAACCCACGAGAACGGGTATTGTGCTGACAAACCTAGAAACCGGGATTCGAACCCATAATCAAAGGTTTCTGACGTAGCCAAGGGACGCAACTCTGCACAACGAATCGCGGCGCTTTAGACGAACATGGAGGAGTGAATGAGTGAGTATAAACGCCGCTCTGAACAGTTTTTGAGTTATATCACTGCGTTTCTGCTTGATGTGGGAGAAAAGCCGAACTGATGCAGGTCTTAGATATGTACCACTTTGGTGATACCCACGAGCACGGGTATGTACTGATATACCTTTTACCATCCAAGACGAAGCGGTATTCGAACTTACGATCATAGGTTTCTGGCATGCCTAAGGGTAGCAACTCTGGGATTCCAAACGTAAATGATTTGTTTATCCGTACCATTTGTCGACAATGTCACTGTGACTTGTGCCGCACGGGTAAACGCGGATCAATATATTTCCAAGCATTGATTGACAGTACCAGTACTGATAATTAGATTTTATCGATACATTCTGAACCTGCATGTAAAATACCTCATTGAACAATACTTTGTTTGATTGGCATTACTCAGAAGTTGACGGATGACAAAGTAGACATAATTTATGGATATTCTGATCAATGTTCCTCAATGTCTTGCTTGACAACGGTATAAGGATCTGTACCGAAACGTCGCCTTAACAGTATTAAAGAAGTTGTTATCCATAAATTGTGTATACTTTGAACAATGCTATGTAGTTGAATTCAATGTAAAAATCAATATGTTTTCTAAATATAAATATGACAATAGTTCACAATTAGCTCTCCACTTGTGAAGTTCGAATCAATATTTACCGATGAATATGTTACTGGATACTATTCTGATGATTGCATCTGGTGCAGACACTCTCTCTGTTTTGTTTCTCTAACGTGTAGCATTAATAAATGAATGGTTTGACAAACAAATATTGGACTTTATCGTTCGTCGAGCTAGAATGCTTCGTAGAACTTCCATACCTTTCTTTCGTCCCTGCTGTTAAGAGATCTACAGTTCTTTGAAAATAGTCTATCGGGACGTATCCAACTGATATGTTTGACTCGCCCTTGAAGAGATCGACCGTTTAAATGAGTGAGTGAGTTAAAACTTAACGTAACAACGGAAATATTTCACCAATATCGCGACGAGAACGTTAATAATACATAAATTAAGACTTCAAACCCTGTCGACAAAGGACAGTATAACAACTAGGTTATCGCAGATAAATATTATAAAACTAGTATGAACTTTAAAAAGATATCACGATGCATAACAATACATTATAAAAACGAGCTAGAGATCACCAGCAACCAAATTTAGGCCACCATACTAGGGACCGTGGGGACTGACGATACTTCTGCTACTTGCACGGTACAAGTTTCACTAACAAATATTGAAAACTCCCAACATCACTAGGCTAATTCAACGACAACGCGTGTAGAGATGGTAGCTCACTTAGAGGAGCACAGCCGATGACCCCACTAACCCTGTATTGGTTGCAGTGTCTATTATTTCGACTGTAACCTATAAGTGTATGTGTTTGTTGAGTAACACCACACACCACACATCGCATACCACGACTGCCTGTAAACATTTGAGTCTGGACGAGACGATGGTCTACTCAGTAGGTCAAGTTATTAATAGGTATGACCCAAACAACCGGAAGTATAGCTTGAGGCATCGCTGTGCAGAGTTGCGTCCCTTGGGCACGCCAGAAACCTATGATTGTGGGTTCGAATCCCGGTTCACCCCGATTATGTTTGTCAGCACCATACCTCGTGGGTTTCACTGAAGTGGTAAACGACTAACACCTGCATCACTTCGGGCTTTCCTCCCACATTAAGCTGACACGCCGCGATATAACTGGAATACTGTTAAAAGCGGCGTTAAACCAAACTCACTCATTCATTCCAAAATAGAACAGTTTTAAAGCGCTCTTGTCGTCATAAAGGGGATAAACCTACTGCTAAAGGTCGCTGTGGCTGAGGTGAAAACGAGACTCGTCAGTGAATAGAATTTGTCTCCACTTCATGGCCGTCCAGCGTAGACGCTGTCTGCACAACTGTAGACGTGCTTGACGATGGTTTCCTGTCAAAATGGGACGTCTGGCGGGTCTTCTGGCGACAATCCCTGCACATCTGAGGCGACGACGTACGGTTTGTGAAGATATTCGTCGAAGGCCAGGGATGTTTCTTGTAGTCACTGCTGCTGGCTGGAATCGATTTCGTAGGTGTGTTGTTAGAAAAGCGGCGTAAAAACATACCCACTCACTCACTCACTCACTCACTCACTCACTCACTCACTCACTCACTCACTCACTCACTCTTAATAATACAGTGGGTTACATTTAAAAGAATATATTTGGAAATTAGAAAAATAGTGAACACCATGGAGGGGAATGTCTGCTCTGTTCCAGTTGAGCTCAAATCCTCAACATTATATACACCAGGCCTTCCATTTTAGGCTTAAAATATATGAGAATTGGTTCTCAGGCAATGACTTTTGAAAATATAGTGCCGGCGGGCGGTGTTAGTGTTTTTCCTTGTTTAAACTAGTATGTAACCAAATAAACAGTTGTGTTCCATCAACCTGGTAAAGGGCCTCCCTACATAAACAAGCATACAAACTCCTATTGCCGCCATGACCATAACACGAGATGCGCTGTAAAGCAGTGCGCTTGTAAAGGGAAGTAACCTTGTGCTATATTGTTTTTAAGTATTAGGATTTTTTTAATTGTTTTTTGAAAATGGAAATAAAAACGGTACCTGCGGTGGACATTATGATGATGCGGGCGGTGACTGAGAACCAAGACTATTATCTTTTTAGCACAGGTTTTAATATGGGCACCGTTTATGGATTTGTATATTGATGTCGCGATAATTTGATTTACATGATCGATGGTAACTTCCTGAATTATTCCACACATAATTATCAGTTTCTTCAAACTTCTATCAAGCACTTAACAAAATTAGAGGGAAAACGTCGAATATTCCATCGGAAGTCAAATAAATTATTAAGATATTTTCAGACACCCAGTTATACCAATTAGGGCTATAATATTGTCAAGTCATAAGCGTACAGTTATTTTTAAAAAAAATAATTAACACGAATTTTGATCAGCTGGAGCATAACAACTTTAGAATTGTTACAATAGTCCCTGGAAAGTGTTCTCATTGACCTGGGCGAGTAATTAGAGGCCACAATAATGGTTGCTAGGATCGTAACAAGTATACCATAATTGGGAAAACAGATTGTTTACGAATCTGGAAAGAAATTGTGTTGTGATTAATATTTGAATCATTCAACCCCCTTCAGACTTTGAAGCAAACAGACAAGTTATTGATGGATGTTCCAAGTGGTTTGTGTTACTGATTCAGTATTTCGTTCTTCCTTTGGGACTATTTATCCAGACTAAGTAGTTGGGATACCGTAGTGTGTCAATATTCAAGGATATACTTCCAGAAGGAACAATGAGTTTGTGATTATTGTTCAGTTTGTGTGGTACTGTGTTTAAAGATAAGTGTAACTTGAAACGTGGACTTGAAACAGATGGTACCTTGGCAGCTCCAAACGTGAACTGATGATGGAGTAAATGATACAGTGTATAATTATATGCGTGTTGTTTGTTTTATTGTTCTTTAGAGCCGCACTTAGCCAATGTGTTTCGGAAAAATAGGTGAGGTGAGGTGAAATTGGGTTTAACGTCGCGTCCAAGATTATTGCACTTATATAGCGACGTGCATGCACGTGTATGTGTGTGTGGAGCTGCTTGTACTAGTCCGGACTAATGCCGATTTATAGTGCTAGCTCACTGAGATACCATGCCGCAGTTTAACATGAATACCCCACTCAGACACAGTATACTGACTCCGAGCCGACCAGTCCTTGTTTTAGCCCCTTAATGCCGAGCGCCAGACAGGGTAACAACAAGTACAATCTTTTAACGTCTTTTTGTATGACGCGGCCCGGGATCGAACCCTGGACCTTCCGCTCTCCGGGCGGACGCTCTACCACAAGACCACGGAGGCGGTCGTTTCGGAAAAATAAGATTGTATGATAATGTTTGATAAAGGTTTTCCTTGGATGCAAATACACGTAGGTACTAGCTCTGTAATTATCGTCGTATCTTTGAATTATTCATGACTTGACACATACTCCAAGTATTTCATTTGGTTTAATTGTGACCATTAATAGACAGTAAATTGACCTATTCACATGAACGATGTAAATGTTGAATAATTGCACTCAGAACGTCAAATTTCAGCAAATGATCCATCAGATCGGAAGATACTGATGATGGCTCGCTGGGTCGACTTTTGTCTACACGTAGGCCTCTTTCTGATACGAACGACCGTCATCAGCGCCGATTCTGGTTGTAGCTTAAGACGAACAAGCTATGACAAACGGGGTTTTGTTGCTGACATTGGTTCTGACTATGCCGCGCTTCTGGAATCACAGTCTGTAGTTAGCTTATTTGAATGTGTCAGGTATGTGGAGAGAAGACGGACATTTCAATGGTTTATCTACAACCCTGTGGACAATCTGTGCATATCCAGCACGTGCTGGGCGATGCCCATACAATTTGTGGGGGTGTCCAACAACATCTTGTACAGAAAAGGTAAGAGGTTTTAATGATTTGTATTTGACTTCAAACACCTGCATACCATTGTTATCCCCCGCCCAACAAAGTTGGCGGGGGATATAGAAACTGGCTCCGTCCGTCCGTCACGTTTCGTTTCCGGAGCATAACTCATAAACCGTTAAATATTCTTTCATCAAACTTTGCAGGTCTGTCAGGTACATGCTGAACTGGTGCCTTTTGCTATTTAGAAATTTTAGAAATTTTTATTTTTTACGTTTCCATGGCAACAAAACGGACTTAGGTTCTGTGAGGGTAGGGTTCGTTTCCGGAGCATAACTCATAAACCGTTCAATATGTTTTCATCAAACTTTGCAGGTCTGTCAGGCACACGCTATACTGGTGCCTTTTGCTATTTAGAAATTTTAGAAATTTACATTTTTTTACGTTTCCATGGCAGCAAGATGGACTTTACTTTACAACTTACAATTTCAATGACAAGTTCCACCTCGGTTAAAAAAGGTTAGGGTTTGTTTAGATTTAATTATGTCATAAATTCTGCAACAGGGGCGGAGGATATAGCCACGTTAGTGGCAAACTCTTGCTTTATTTGTGCGTGTTTGGCAGGACATGTTTACCCTTTGCGCGAAATACAGCGTGCACCTTTTTGTTTTATTGTTGTTTAACGCCACACTCAACCATATTCCAGCTATATCGCAGCGACCTGTACACAGTTGAGTCTGTACCAGACAATCCAGTGAACAAAATTGCGAGCAAAGGGCCACTCCGTCGGGGCACTCAAACCAAGTCCCCGAACCTGACCACCTCATCTAATTAGTCGCTTCTAGATCTTGCGACCAGCAGAGGTTTCTGGGGACCTAGTTAAACCAACCTGGATCTACGTATGAGGATATGGTGTGTTCTGTAACACATATTAACGACTACTATTTATTCTACGACGAAAGATTTCAGTCGTACCAAGACCTATTTATGGAATGTGCTTTTAGTTGAAACCCCCAAATTATGGCGAGAGTGTGAGAGTGTTAGATTAAACATAACTTTGAACAGTATTTCAGCCATACTACGGCGTGCCAGCTGAATTTGGGAGGGAAAGAAAGAAGGGTCTCAAGGATATCTGAAATTGACTGCCGTCGAGTAGACCCGTGAAGATCCGGGGTAGAATAGGTCTTCAGCAACCCATGCTTGCCGCAAAAGGCGACTGTGCTTGTCGTAAGAACGGGATCGGGTTGCCAGGCTCGCTGACTTGGTTAATGCATGTCATCGTATCTCAATTGCATGATCGAAGCTCATGTCAATCGCTGGATGGTCTGGCCCAGACTCGATTATTTACAGACCGGCGTCATATAGCTGGAAGGGGCGGTCGGGTAGCCTAGTGGTTAAAGCGTTCGCTCGTCACGCCGAAGACCCGGGTTTGATTCCCGACATGGGTACAATGTGTGAAGCCCATTTCTGGTGTCCCCCGCCGTGATATTGCTGGAATATTGCTAAAAGCGGCGTAAAACCATACTCACTCACTCACTCACTCACTCACTCACTCACTCACATAGCTGGAATATTGCTGAGTACGGCGCTTAACAACAAACAAACAGACAAGCAGACGAGTAAACTCTTTGGTGAAATCCACAAGCACGGATATGGTACTGAGAAACCAAGGATCATAATCAGGGTAATTATGTAATGAGAACCCACGATCAGCGGATCTTGACATGGCTTCGGACCTTCAGGCAAATGGGCAATGTGCGCTTTTTTATGCTTCTTGACGTTTAATTTCATCATTACTAATTAAAAGAACAGGCGTTGGCGACTGATAGAAAGTCAAAGACATGCCTCTGTTTAAAGAATTCATACACAACCTTACAGAGAGTCTAGAATACTAAGTGTTTGGATGAGCTTATTGACACATGAATGTGGTTATAGACAAACAACTCTAAAGGTTGTATGCCATATGTTGTATGCCTAACTTAGAAATCAAATTGTTTTCACAATTTAAATTTCTACGCTTAGAAATCTTGCAAAGGTCCTCGTGATACATTAGTAATCATATGTAATTGTGCAAAGGCACCTTCCTGTACATTTATCATATGAACTTTATATTTGTACCACCAATGGTGCTAATTTGAATTGATTTGAAACTTATTGTCTAAATGAAGTCGTGGAATATATAGCGGGTTGTCATGGCGCAGCAGGAACATGAACGTTACGTTATTTCTTATATGTAGCGGACATGGCAGCTGCACAGAGAAGTCAACCGAACAATATATCCCAGAGGACCAACTGAAATGTTTTAAGAATAATTTGTGGTAATTGTACTGCACAACCTTCCAGTTCACACGGGCGTGATTCAAAACTAACATATCGTTTTTATTAGTTTCAACGGAGTCCGTAGATGCACTATCACGTCGCTGGCTTTTCTGGTTCATCGATCACTTGATTGTCTGGTTTGTTCACAGGCCGCCTTCGCATGACAGAAGTAGTGCTGTGCGGCGTCATGCAACAAACATTTCCTTTTTTTATGCAAATTGAATGGCAGGGGCTACCGGTAGGACAGGACACCCTCACCCTGGTGTCATCACTGATTTTTAGGGGTCCAGTCATACAATATTCACAGCTTTTTTGCCCTTTGCACCAAATTTAATCTGTTTCGCCGGATAATCTAGACTGGTTATTTTTTTGCATTGACGTTTTATATTTAAAGTAGATACAACCGATACAACCCATGGAGACTACGGGTTGCGTGTTTTCATACCCCGAAGAAATAGTTTCCCATAATATCAACCCCTAGTCTCTCTTGTCAAGACGCGATTACTTGTTTCACAGGGAAACCTAACCATATCTTGATGTCTCCCTATGTCAAATTCGACTAACAATCAATGTAAGGATATATGTTCTCATAACTTCCAGGAGAGCTTACTATCCCACAATCCTGCTCTGATGTGAAGAAAACTGATCCCACCGCTACTGATGGCGAGTACTGGATCTACCCTGACGCCCCAACCTTCCTGGGTTGCCCCACCAAGATCTACTGTCATGACATGGCTTCTGGCTCCCCCAGGGAATACGTCAGTCTGACTGTGACCAACACAGGGGAGTACCCAGGTGTACAAGATCTGATTTGTAAAGATATCGAGAATACTATAACTGGCCGTGTTACAAACTTCAGTAAAATCAGAGTTGATGTAAAGGTATGGTTTTGGATATTTATAGTTTATCTTTAGCATGGAAGTAAATCTGACGATGATAAATGTTACAATTAATTTTTTTGACAGTCGTTTATAACAGTATAATTTCAAATATATGAATTCCCTGCATATCAGTTATGCTTGACGGATACAATTTTCCATGGCGGTGGACAGGATCTAGGCCATCCCGAGGTATCAGACATACTGCTAGCTAGGACATACATTCACTCCTCCATTGCTCCTAACGCACTTTACGTCATTACGTGGTTTCACAAATGCGGAAAAGTTTGATAACCGTTTTCCATCCGAGTCTTAAATAAGTAAAATATATCATTGATAGGTCAATGTGAATATTTAATGATAATAACATAACCAGTTCTTAAAAACTTGTTCTTAATTAGTAGTCACACCGAAGTAGACAAGTGTGAGACCAATTGAATCCCCATCCTCGATTTTCGAGTGTATTATATCTATAGTCTATTGTTGTTTTCAATATTCTAGACACATTCGCAAGCATAACTTCGTTTTAATCTGAGTCGAAAGACTATAATCTCATCATGAGCGAGAGAAAAGTCATGCTATGTTTGTGATATCAGAGATGCAGATGGTGAAGTCAGGTACGAAGCTGGGATATGGTTGGCAATGGGTCAAGAGCAGCTGTTCTTATAATCTATGGAAATATAAAAGGCTGGATAATCGAGGATGTTGAATCATCAGACTGAAGTGACTTGTGCAGCAGTATGATTGCAGGCTTTGCTACATATAACTGCAACTCCTTCTATCATCCACGTATTAGCATATAACGGAGCTTTGTCCTTAGGATAAATAAAACCCATTTCGTCTGTTGTCATTTTCTGTAACTACAAGATACAGGGTATCAATCATAATAAATGGTGATATAATACCCTGGATAATCGAGGATGCTGAATCCCATAACCAAAGCGATTTGTGCAGGGTTTAGATTGCGATCTTGGCTTTATAATTTAATTGCTATCTCCTTTACCAACAACGCAAATTTGTAGAAATAGAAACTCTCTCATCTGCGAAATGTTGTTTCCTTCCGAGGTTATGGAGGTGAACAAAACAGATCACACCTTTGCCACAGGAACAGGAGCGTATGGAGAAGCTGAAGATTGTTACTCACAGGCAAACCGTGGATGCGGCCCGAAGGGGAATTTTCAAGTAGACACCAATGGAACAGGCATGCTTGTTGATCCAGAGGTAATCATAATAATCCATCACACGTGCCTATCATATATTCATGTTTTCAAACTTAAGGTGCTCGCAAGTACTTGCAAAAACAGTAGCAGGCCTTTCATTCACTGAACATATATTATGACATGTCAGGGTTCTTAGATTGTGATGATCAGGAGTTCAACTCCTAGATGTGTCCCGATTATCCTAATTGGTTGATTGGCACCATGTTCAAGATTGTAAGATCAACGGACCAATCTGACGCGTGTGTAGTAATCGTGTCCTGAGGAAGTTGTTGGTAGGAAGATGCAACTAACGTTATGCAATATATATGTTTACAGTGTCAGTGAGTTTGGTTTTACACCGCTTTCAGCAATATTCCAGCAATATCACGGCGGGGGACACCAGAAATGGGCTTCACACATTGTACCCATGTCGGGAATCGAACCCGGGTCTTCGGCGTGACGAGCGAACGCTTTAACCACTAGGCTACCCGACCGACCCTTTATGTTTACAGATACAATGTATATGTACTGACTCTATTTCAGCAAACGTGGAATGGATTTGGATACAAGCCGCACACGCCATCAGTGATGAGGTCAGCAGATGGCGTCCAGATTGACCTTCTCTGCGGTGGAGGGTGTGGCGGGTGTAGACCAGTTGGACCACTGAAACTCCATAAAAACTTTCAGGAAGGTGGGTTCCTTGCTGAATACCCTCTGTTTATTTCCATCCAGTTAATGTCTGTACACTCCTGACATTGACCAAGCTACATTTTCCAATCACACACTTTATTCCCTGTCCATTTCAGTTATTCCTCAGGAAAACGCAGCTTCTGTAACCAAGGGCTAGTGCTGTGAACATCGAACAAGCCACAACTAATATCAACGGGAGCACATTTTAGCAAGAAATCAGCGTTATCACCACTATCGCCATGGGGCAAAATAGGATTCTATAGTATTATTTTCTAGCTCAGTCTTGACAAGAATCTCTTATTAGCATGTAACCGTTCGTGTACTTTCTCAAGAATCAGGTCTCCATTTAACATGTAGCAAGTGACGTAACTATGGGGAAATATGTTATGGCATCAATTTGAGAACTCAGTCTTGATACGTATCGCTTAGGTAAGCTTGCAAAGTTTCATTCATGTAACTTCAGTAGTTTCTGAGAAAACGTGTCCCATTCTGGACACTGTGCACTAAATAGAACAACATTGATCAAGGATCGCCAAATAACATAGGGAACCAATTCTCGAACTCAGTCTTGACAAGTATCTGTTAGATAAGCATGCACACTTTCATTCATGTAACATCAGACATTTCTGAGAAAACTTGTCCCCATTTCATGCAGTATTTACTGAGGTGAAAAGCAGACAGCAATGGACATAACTCTGTAAAAAGTAATTGAAGACTCCAATTTTCGAACTCATTTGAGATCATGACAATAACATCACTGGTGTGTAAAATCTAAATTCTCTAGAATCTAAAACGTTTAGAATTTTTCAGAAAATGTGTCCCCATTGAGAAGAGGATTTATGGCGGGGTATAATAATTACACTATAGTATCTCTCTTCACTTTCTCTGTCGCAAGATGATAGTTCTCAAATTATCATCCTTGTCGTTGGACATAATTTTTTGTTTGATTGTGCGATCCGTGATTGCTTTACGATTTATTTATTAACATACTTCATTTCCATACATGCACCAAAACTCAGAAGTTTGTGGAAATATTGTGTAGCACCGAGTTATGACGTTCTAAAGGAACGAAACAGTGAAAGCGTTAGCACCTCTGTAAATCTACGAGGGAGTAAAAGAAAACAATTGTGTTTTGCGAGATTTGTACCTAACTTACGATTCAAAGAATACTTTGAAACGATTAAGTATTATTCTCCATACGTAGCTGTACACTGAAAAGCAAGGGAAACAAACAAACTACGTGTCAGGCTTGATAAAAAAGACCTGAAAATATTTATGATAATTTTTGAGCATTTGTGATCATGAATAAGCAAATAGATAGCAATGATACAGAGCTATGAAATAATACACTTGTAACTATGACAATATAAAAATGGACACAAAATGACATAAGGGCATGGGGTCTATGTCACTCTGCATAGGCCTGAACACCATGATTGCACAGTCGTCAGATCTGGATAGGGAGGCCGCTAACAACATGTCCTAGGGACCCGTGAAGATCGGAGTTAGAACAGGTCTTCAGCAACCCATGCTTGTCGTAAGAGACGAATGTGCTTGTCGAAAGAGACGAATATGCTTGTCGTAAGAGGTGACTAAGTAACGACATCGGGTGGTCAGGCTCGCTGGCTAGGGTGATGCATGTCGGCGTATCCCAATTGCGTAGTTCGATGCTCATAATATCAATCACTGGATTGTCTGATCAAGACTCGATTATTTACAGATCGCCGCCATATGGCTGTGATATTGTTGAGTGCGGCATTAAACAAAAACAAACAAACATCTGCTAGGGAAGTTGATGCTGATGACGTCACAGTCAAGAAACCGTTTTCCTGCCGATCAACGTGGCATATTGTATTTACTGTTAATTTCAGGACGCGTATTGTGAGCTGCAACCATATGACCCATATGCAACCTGTGATCATGCTGCTCATGTTTTTCCAACTCTAGCAAAGTCATTTTAAACTGACATCCGTGAACTAAGGGGAGAGTTTCAATTGCAGCATTGTATGTTTCTTCGATTGTGTTTACATGATTTGAAAAAGTATTTCGCATTTGAGTTCAAATTCCATTGTATGTTTTTTAAAGTGTCTGTTGCTTGTTGGTGTACATGTAACAGAGACATATATGCCCTATTCATATTCCGTGTTTATTTGTCAATATGCACGCGCCACCGATGCAGCCGACATTGTGAAACTATAAACAGACACTTTACTAAAGTTCTTGTATTATTAGCCAATACTATATTGTATTGTTATTGTGATTGTAGACCAGTTCCTGTTTCCGTTGTTACAAAACAGTTTAGTTGTTATCTATTAACGCTTATCAAGTGTGCATTTGAAATTCATTAACTGACAAATATCCTACTTGTGTTATGCATTGAACAAATTTGATTGATATAAAATCAAAATGTTTTACTATGAACATAAAGACATCTTCATAGATTTGTAACCATCTTTATTTGGAATGCATCAAAATAAATTTCGCACACACCATTAAGGATTATGTTGTATATTCACCATCTGAAATGAGAGTCACGGAATCTTTACTTTCTGAACCGTACACTGTTGAAGAAGCAGATAGTGAGTTAATACAGTGACGTCACATTCTTTCCGCCATATGATGAGATTCCCATCAAGCGGTAACAGTGTTCTTGCAGTAGCTCTAATGTCGCTGGGGACCACCAAAAGTAGTGTGCGCAACAACAGTTGCATCCTCAAAACGTTCGGGGTGTAGTCTGCACACTCACCTACGGTCGTTAGGGACATAGAGAATCTCACCCGAGTGTCTTTTGATATCAAAAATATCAACACGAGTTGATACAAGTGGAAAAATTCCGAGGCTTGCCGAGGATTTTTGCCATTTTTATCAACGAGTGTGAAATTTCTATTTATCATCCAACATCATTCTTTCAATTTTTTCAATTTGTAGACAGTAATTAGCAGTGTCTTCAAGTAACAGTTCGACAACATGCTAAGATTAACAGAAGTGCAAAGAAATAACGCCATTGGCCGCTTGCAGGCAGGGGAATCCCAATCAGCTGTAGCAAGGGTTTTCAAGGTAGCGCCCGGCACAATCACAAGGCTATTGGATCGGTTGCAACAGTATGGGTCAACACGTGATCGCCCAAGGTCGGACCACCCCCACCACCCCCGCCCAAGGTCGCTATATCCGACTGCGCCCCCCACGTGAAAGGACGACCTCAGCCACCTCAACCGCATCCCAAATACCCGGAGGGGGAATCTCCTACTAGACCGTACGAAACCGTTTAAGAGCAACAGGTCTAAGAGCAAGACGTCCTGTTCGACGCATCATATTGAGTCGACAACATCGTCAACAACGACTGCATTGGTGTCGTCAACACAAGGTATGGCCTCAACAGGGATGGAGAGATGTCTGGTTCAGCGACGAATCAAGATTTCTCCTCCGTCGAGGGGATGGAAGAGCACGGGTCTACAGCCGTCGGGGAGAACGTTACGCCGGAATCTGCGTACAGGAAGTAGAAGGTTTGGTTGGGGTAGTGTTATGATGTGGGCGGTTATCTCCTATCATGGCAGGACAGGTTTGGTCCATATCCAGGGTAATCTTACGGCTCAACGATACATCAACGAAATTCCCCTACCACGCGTCCTCCCAATTAGACCCAATGGCAACGATGTATTCCAGTAGGGGTCGTCGGCCCATTATACGTTTACAGCTACTGCTATGATATGATGTTCCGAAATTATAAAAAAATTCAATTCAAAAAGAGAAATGTTATGAATACTTATGTGTGATGTGCGTGCCATTCGTCTGTATCGAGTTCATAATTTAGGTCAGCGTCATTAGGTAAATATTTTCGGTCGTGGCTTTCTATATAATTTGCAAATGTACCGTTACTTGTATGTGCATTCAAATCTCCTTGTACAAACAAGACGACAGTGGCATTGGCAACATAAACTATTAAATATCCATTATCTGCATGACGATTTGAGTTGAAAAATACACAACTCCGTTATTGTCCCTTGACGAACTACTCAACAACTACTTTGTTCTTTCATTGAACCTGATATCCCATGGGAGTTTCTAATGGCTCGACTTTCTTTCTACTGACTACGTTCTACCCATTAATCCATTTCTCTACAAGTGAGATACATTATATATATTGGGTGTTCGTGAGAACCTTGTAAGAGATTCTTTTCAAACCTTCAAACTTCCAAAAACTTACATCCATTTGTCTATCCACGATAAGCAAGTTTGTGTCGCCGTGTATCGTATATACATCGAGGTTGCTTGGGTGATGTATAGAGCTGAAACAGAGAACTCATGGTTAATTCAAACTGCCTGTATCACTGTCCTGTCTGTTGGAGTAAAGGATACGACGGTCCTTTATACATAAACAGTTACTGATATAATATGATGTTCCGAAATAAGAATTGTTTCCAATACAAAAACAGAAATTTATAAATATTATAACTCTCAATAGATATGTGATGTGCGTGGCATTCCGTCTTTCTCGATTTCATAATTTAGGTCAGCGTCAATAGGTAAGCGGGCTCGGTCGTAGCTTTCTATATAATTTGCAAATGTACCGTTACTTGTATGTGCATTCAAATCTCCTTGTACAAACAAGACGACAGTGGCACTGGAAACATAACGACTTGATTTGATAGGTGAAAAATACACAACTCCGTTATTGTCCCTTGCAGGATCTTGTATCTTCAATTACAAAATGTTATGAGACGAACTACTCAACAACTACTTTGTTCTTTCATTGACATTGATATCCCATCGGAGTTTCAATTGGCTCGACTTTCTTTCTAGTAATCACGTTCAACTCTACAAGTGAGATAAATTGTATATTGGGGGTTCGTGAGAACCTAGTAAAAGATTCCTTTCAAACCTTCAAATTTCCAAAGAACTTGCATCCATTTGTCTATCCACGATAAACTGGGCCTTGACCAATATCCTTATTCAGTATTTCCACCGATTGAATCTGATCGTAGTCCCCCACTGACAGGCATCAGTTCGATATTGTCCCCTGTCATAGTGAGGTGAGGTGAGGTGAAATTGGGTTTAACGTCGCGTCCAAGATTATTGCACTTATATAGCGACGTGCATGCACGTGTATGTGTGTGTGTGGCTGCTTGTACTAGTCCGGACTGGTGCCGATTTATAGTGCTAGCTCACTGAGATACCATGCCGCAGTTTAACATGAATACCCCACTCAGACACAGTATACTGACTCCGAGCCGACCAGTCCTTGTTTTAGCCCCTTAATGCCGAGCGTCAGGCAGGGTAACAACAAGTACAATCTTTTAACGTCTTTTTGTATGACGCGGCCCGGGATCGAACCCTGGACCTTCCGCTCTCCGGGCGGACGCTCTACCACAATACCACGGAGGCGGTCCCCCTGTCATAGCTTGTACATTTAGTTTCATTTTGAAATTAATCAAACGTTAAAACAGCATATTTAGTTCTTGTCTTTTCCATATGTTCTTTCAACACTTTTATAACCGCTGTTGTTTTCCCCTTAGTCTTGTGAGATACTAACTATATGCCCCGTCAATGTATTGGCTGGCTGTAGAATAGTACTCAGCTGTCTGTAATTGTGATATGAGACGAGTACTTAGATTTATGCAGTTTATAGAATGAGAGGGTCTTGCTGCCTCGAGATGCATGCCAATCTTGAAACGACTTGTGTGCTGGCGATTAGGTGCCTCACTCTGGCAATGTGGGTTCGAATTCCTGACGGGACTCAACCCAAAAAAGTACGAGAATCTGTACTTTACTAAGAAAGTGTTATCCCAAATATAACATTTGTTACATTTGACCACATTCTAAATAGCATTGGATATTCAAAGGTTCAAATGTTGATCTAATATTTGAGATGATTATTGAGTCAGAATTGCGTCGATCAGGCATACCTAAAGTCCTAGATTCACCCTTAATATGTTTCTAGATTATTCAGTACTATACCCGTGCATTTGGATTTCACAACATTGGTAAACGTCTAAGACCTGCATCACTTCCTGCCCTCTTCTTCCACATCAAGCTGACACGCCATGCTACAAAAGAAGTATTCTTCAAAGGGGCGTTAAACCCCTAAAATATAGACTGTACATAAGTAAAGGCATTTGACGTCTTTACGAGTCTTACTTTCCCGTACTCCTCCTCCTCCAGACAGTGCCCATGATGTACTATGTTAAAGGTATAACAAAATAAATGCTTATTCAACCGAAAACACCTCGACCAAGATCATCTGCACCGTGTCTTCAGTGGTGTTTTATTGATTTCTGTACAGAGTAGATGAACTCTCAATCCCAATTGTGGCAGAATAGCATTCAGTGTAACGGCAACTACCACTATGGAAAGCTTTAAGTCGCTTTCCCGTCTGTTTCTTCTTATCGGATCTTATACATTTACCACCAGTAACACATGTGACATACGCACTACCAATTTACACCAGGAAGGCTATGTTTCTGACATTGGTTCTGAGTATCAGCCTCTTTTAGAAACCATTGATGGAGCCAGTGTCACTGATTGTGCCATTTATGTAGAAAGGAAACCAAGTCTCCAATGGTTTATCTTCAATTCCGTGGACCAAGTGTGCATAACTAGCACGTGTTGGGCAA